GTGCTGATATTGGCCGACCGGCTCAACACGTTGTACGTGTGAGTGCTGATAAGCTATGGCATATAAGCCATCAAGAAGGCGAGGGCAAGCGGGGCCTCGGTAGTGTAAGGGATAAGAGCACGGTCCCCGGAAAGGACAAGTACGGGTTCAAGTCCCGTCCGAGGCTGAAGTTTTGTCCACAAATCGCCAACCTTGTGAGACTTTCGGATCGCGTACTGCGGCGAATTAACAGCAGTTAACAAAACATCAAGTCAAAACAAGTACTAACATGTAAAGCTTACAGCTTAACGGTTCTGTGCTGATATTGGCCGACCGGCTCAACACGTTGTACGTGTGAGTGCTGATAAGCTATGGCATATAAGCCATCAAGAAGGCGAGGGCAAGCGGGGCCTCGGTAGTGTAAGGGATAAGAGCACGGTCCCCGGAAAGGACAAGTACGGGTTCAAGTCCCGTCCGAGGCTGAAGTTTTGTCCACAAATCGCCAACCTTGTGGAATGGGATCAGTTTCATCAGGATAGAAATGGATGATAGACGTGGATTCTTATTGAAATGTCCCCTGCTATGCGCACACCACTTTCTTCTTCTTTCGTTTCTCCTCTGATTCTTTAGTGTCAAGAATGTCCTGATCTTTCCTCTTCATTATTTCTATAGGTTTTGGAGTTTGTTGATCTGTCTGTCCAGTCAAAATGGAGGTGCCATCAGGTTACGACCATGATATTTGTGTGGAATGGAAAGTGGGTACAATATTCGCAATAGCTTCAAAGAATCCCAGTAAGATATTAATTACTTCTCGCTACATGCAAGCAAGCTTATTTCTGTTCCTTGCAACCCATTTTACCCAAAAATCCTAAGATAAGTATGTGTGGTTCGAGCCAAAGGGGCTGTAGAGACTTCTCACTTAAAAAATTTCAAAATCAGATTACACCGTTATATTTTGTAGGTGCTTCGTCTCTCACATGTACTAATGGCGCATGGAATCCGCCAGCGTTCGGTATCTGTACCACGACAGCAGGAATTGGAGGTTTGACGATGCCTATGACAAGTGGACTGGGAACAGGAATGTCACCGATTCTTCCATCAACTGGATTAGGAGTTTCACCAATTCTCCCGTCGACTGGATTGGGACTAGGAACTGGACGTAAGGGTTTCAACTGCTTTTTGTTCTAACTTCAGTGCTTAGAGATACACATGATTTAGTTGGTGCTGCACAATGTCCTCCGATGTTGGCACCACTGGGTTCAACGATCACCTACAGCAGTGGCGCTACAAGTTCTGGGATTGTCCCATTGCAAGATCACGGGACCTCCGCTATGATGAGATGCAACGACAACTCCTTAGTCTCAGGTATGGTAATGAAATAAAGTAAAACAGAGCTGGTTAAGTGTGAAGTGACGGAACTATCTCAAGCATTGTCCGAAGATCGAATCCCGGTCATATGGAGTTGAGTTAAGCATATCCGAGAAATCGAATAAAGCTAGGAAATCAGGGGCCATTTCTTTACTTACAAATTCACAATTTACTAGAACTTGCTTGTCTTTTTGCATTTTTTGCTTTGTTGCTGACTGGGCCTCGATCGGTTGGTGTGGTCCCAACGGATTCCTTAAATGCTTCTTTCCAGGAGCGTCCACAGCTATATGCCAGAATGGCCAATGGCAACCATCCACAATGGGAACATGCTCGAACAGCAACTACCGTATGTCATTTGTTCACGCTCAGTGATCTTTTATTACAGCACTTTTTGCAGTGGGTTTACCGACGAGCTACGGCGACGGCTACACGAACATAGCCAGCGGCTTATCGGGCCTATCGACCGATCTACCTTGCCCTTTCGGGGTCATTCCACCATTGAACGGTAATGTTGTCTACAGCGCCAGACCACCTTACCCTCGTGGAACTACAGTAACCTTGACCTGCGATCCCGGCTACGTCGTGAGCGGTCAATCGACGGCGACCTGCAATAATGGGCTCTTTGGCATTATAGGAACATGTATTAAGGCTTGAGAAGTCTTCACCTAGTAATAATACCGTAATGTACAGTAATTTTGCTTGTTGATGAGTTCTACCTCACTGATTGTATATTTCCGAAACAATTGAATAAACGAGGACAAGTTCGTTTGGTATTAATCGATCCCATTTCCGGAATGCGCCCCGCATTCGACTTTTCTTCAAAAACTTTGTGTCGTTTTAAATGTGTACTCGGCCAGTGTAACGACGACGTGCGATTGCCAGCTGATGTACAAGTCACTGCATTTATCTTTCCAGCTGAGTTTAGCACGAATTAATTGACCCCGTGAGGATGACGGCCTTGAGCGCGGGCGCCCAGGGCGAGTATCGACTTGGGATTTTACCTTAGACCGTTACTGTGTGATAGTGTGCCACTAGTATGCCACAATATCCGCCCATCCAGACAATTGCAATATCGACCTCTTCATTCCACCTTTACAAGCAGCTACCATCCTGACGATCACTCATCCTTTTCGGTACAGGCAATATGCAATTTGGTAGCTCCAATCATTTCGTCAAAAAAAAAAAAAAACCGTAGGCAGCTCACAAACATCCCCGGACGAGATCTGTTGGGGGAGATATCTCTGTTTTGAAGGTTTACCGTCCGTAATTTTGCAGTGTCTCAACAAATTAAGAGATTTTAGAAAAAAGTCAAAGAAAAGTACGAAATTTTTCAGCTCCCTACAGACAATTGACAAGAACCACATCGAAACATTTGTGATCCTCGTCTAGATTTATGAAAACATGAATACAGGGTGGCCCGAAAATGTTGCTACATGAAAAAAAAANAAAAAAAAACCAATTATCTTCTTCAATGCATAATCGAGAGCAACTGGACGTGGCACTTAGTTTATTACGATGGGCTTAGTTCATTACGAATCAAAATTGAGAGTGGTCACTCGATGTGGCCTTTTTCGGCCTGTATAGGGGATGAGGGAAGCACCAGCATTCACCGCTGCCTCTACGGTGAACAGTTTCTTGTCGGAGAAGAAGGGGCTTCCCTCCGGTGGCCCGCACAAGAATGGTCTTTCATCTTGCGACCCGAACAGCCTTAATTCTTCTCCGTAAGGCCATGGCATCTTCCGAGCTTGTGAGGATAGAGACCAAGGTGGTCGTGTAACAACGCTCCAATGGATTGCTACGAGATCTTGAGCTTCTTGGCCTTTTCTCACATGCTGCGACGAGGAATCCTGTCGATGCTCTTTCTTTCGCAGAAGTGGTTGCGGTTCGTGGCGTTCCAGATCGAGAACAGTGGCAGTCGTACCAATCTTATAATGCCTCTTGAGAGTGTTATGGAGGGTTTGACGGCAGTCAAATTATTGCAACAGCAGTTCTGAGCCACCCTGTAATTGTAGAAAATGAAAAACTTAAAGAAGTGGCAGAGAAATCGAGTTAGAGCGACTTGCTTATCAATATCACTTTGACATATGTACATACATAATGCACTCGACAGTTTGTATTCTGATGACATTTATATGACGTAGGCAAAAGGACCCGTCAAAGTATGGGGCAATACTTTTGTGTGAACCGGTTTGATTTTCTTGATTCCCAGTTTTCTGAATGATTCGCTACACAAAGTTTATGGCGAGATCCTGAGTTATTGGCAAATCATTTAGGTCTAGAATTCCTTGGGACCCAGATGCTCTGTATTTCTGTCTAACAACGTGCCGTAATCTCACGAGCCTTCCATATCATTTAATTCAAGCATCCCTGTCCTACTGCTTCTCGTCCTTCTCCCCGCATAGCTCCGGCGCCTTCCCCATATCCATAGACTTGGATAGTCCGTTTATAATACCAAAATTCTATGCCCGCCATGCACGTGTAGGAACACCATTTATCAGAGTATTACTACTTCCCACTGCGCTTACCCGTAGTGAATAGGCTTTTGGTGAACAATAAGACCTTATAGTTCACAAATCTTGTAGGCCATCTGTGATGGGGCCCTTGATCCAACCAACTGAAGATCTGAACATTTTCCCAGTACAGTAACATTAGTGACGCTATAGTAATTTTCCGCTTGCAAGGAGCTACTGTCTGAACCAAACTTCATTCTCTGTATGTTTTATTGTTAGCATAATCTTTATAATTCGGAAGCGAAAATTGAAATAGGTCCTCTGTGGCAGTAATTCTTACACATCCTTCAATCCTTTGACAGGAAAGGACGAAGACGTGGTACATTTTTTCTAAACTTCTTTCATTGGGCGGGGGGTATCGAATACCCCTCAGTAGGTAGCGGGACTGACAATTGTGCCTTCTCGAAAATGAAGATTCTCCCCCTTGATCGCTATGCATTCTTCACGAGGAGCACCTTGGCAGTTTTTGCATATTCGTTATACTTGGTATCTTCACAAGGATTTGCTCTCGTTATAAGCCGATTTTGAAAAGTTCGACAATGTGCTTTAATGTTCAGTACCTTTGGTGTGAGACTTGAGACTTTCGCAGCAGCTTTGTGTGAGGATGGGATTTCTTTGTTCACTACGTTTTTCGACTGGTTTCCATCGTTTATATCCTCGGAGCAAATTGAAGTGGGAGTCTTCAACAGTAGAAATACGGATACCTTGTTTATTCTCAGTTTCGAAATACAAATTAAGAAAACGTAGCAACACAGCCACTATGTATAAAAGGCGAAATTAAGGTACGTTTCACCTATTCATTCACTTTCTGAACGGACAAGCTAGACAGTAGTTTTCAGTTTTTATTCATTATCTCAATAGTATACACGAGTGAGTCAAGCACAACTGGTATATGACAAAAGAAGCACGAAAAAAAACATCCAGTGACAAAACAGCCAAATAAAAACGAAGGAAGAAATTCATGATCAGAAAAAAGCACATCAGATAATATCCTTTGAAACAACAATCCAAAAACGTTGGCATTCACGCAACCCTATTGATCCGATCGAAAACCATCTCACAGGAGAACAGGAGCAAACAACTTGGTCCCCATCCAAGTAGTAGGAGATTGCTCGTTATTCGATAGGCGAAGCTGCACTGGAGTTTCTTTTCTGTCGTGTGCATCCGATGTACAGGTTTTGGCAATGTGTTACAGCGGCTGATGTGAAAAAGTTTGGATTCCAATGTCTGTTTTCGATGGCAATCCTTCCCAGCTCGAGTAATCCAATTTGTTTATTTTTCTCATCACATTTTCTCATTCCTCGAAGCGGGTTGTGGTTTTTTGAGCAGTTTCACTCTCTATGGGTAGCTTGAGACGTCAAGGTGTTCCACGACTTTCTTGTCTGACAACGATCACAGATGATCAATCGCTACTCGTGGTGCGAATGGTTGACCTGGTAGGTGTTACGGGATTACCTAACTCAATAAGAAGGAGGCCTCCCATCGTATCATTCTCAACAAACCATTATATCCGGCTGATCTGCACACCCGACCATTCGAGTCAATTTTCAGAGTATGCTCCAATACCTGACCTGCGAAGTGATGCAGGTACTCATCATTGAGGGCAAAGAAGTGCTCTGGGAGGGAGACGTCAATCCAATGCAGAAGTTGTTGTATGACAGTTTTCCTGTTCAGTATAAGTTCTTCAAATGTTTTTTTTTTGAGAAAAACAAATTTGCACCCTTTCCCTGAGCAGAAGAGTGCTCAGTGAAGCATTCCAATGATCAACATCGCATCCATATAGATAAGTACCTATTTTTTACGGTGTTAGGAGAGTTCAATCGGAAAGGTCTTTGAAAAGTTGTAAGAACATTTAAGCTCTTTCTTCATAGGTCGTCCTTGATGCCGAGCCGCCTGCAAATGGCTGAGACCTTTTTTGCTTTTCGTAGTTCTCGTAGTACCCCTTGGATTTCTTGTTCAATTTCTTCAGCTTTATCCGGCCAATCGCATATGGCGGAATGGTGTCTCATGCGGCTTGTGAGATCGCGTATGCTGTGCTTGCCGCGACGAGGATCTCACAAGTCTTCCAGGCCGATGCACCATAAAATGGGCCACGCGGATACTATAGATGAATAACATAAGACTATTTCATTATATGTTCTGTCGATGTCGCTTCAAGGTGGTCGCTGTCCGAATAGTTGTAGAATAATAATTTATTAGAAACAACGGAACACATAACGGTCGATAAAATAAAAAAAGCAGAAAAAAGGCTCCATCCCAAGTGCAGGGCCTTTTTTACCACGCAGGATACAAAGTCTAAGGTGGTTCCCTGTATCTAGCTGTCCTGTGCTCCACCAAACTACTCGCCTTCACCAAAACGTGTGCCACGCGGGGTCATACTAGTTACGCAACACAGCTCGATTTCAACGTTTACCTAAAACTTGGGTAATCAAACAGCAACAATACAATACTTGAATTATCCACAATAAAATATTGAATCGTACTTGGACATAAAAAACAAGTACAAAGAAGCCAATAAAGGAAGATGTGTGTCGGATCAAACTGATCATTGCCGGCGTGGATTGCACTTTATATACCCAAGATGATCGATTTGCGCGGGAAGGCGTCGTGTCACTTGATCTATCTGAACTACCAATATAGACAACTAAAACAGTGACACCTAGATTTAATACTAGGAAAAATTCTTCAAACCTGACCAGATTCATGGTCGCGTTCGCGACACCCTGAAGTTCTGGAAATCAATAGCCGGAAAACTCCTCAGGGATCGAAATTCGACCACCATTCTCTTAACTGTTGCGTAGGTTCGCTGGAATCAATTGTTCGCATAGTCACGTAGGCTTCGCATAACCAATCTTGAGCTCGCGCTTCGCGATAGCTGCACTAATTTAGTAAGCTCGCGCGCATAGAGAAAAGTTTTATCTCCAGCCTCTGTGAGGAGCAGAAAAGTTAAAGTAAATCATGCCTCATTTACATGAATAACGATAAGAGGAAAGGCAAAAGTTCATCAGTTCCAGCCAAAAGATTTCAAGGAAATTGAAAGGGATACTATATTATGCAGTATAATAATGCATCGGCGCAAAGACTGACAATGAGATCAATAATAGGCGAATGTTCGTTGAGGTCAGGGCTTCGCCCTCAAGATGG